GCGAAAGATTATGTCCACAGTGGGTTGGCCCAGGGATGATGGCTTGAGTGTAAATTGATTTATAGCGGTGGTGGACTTATGTAACACACTCCTCTCTTACATACCTAAGTACGATGTCAAGACAATCGGAAAGACTTGAGACAGAATCGGGTTTGGTGTCTATCAGAACCTAATAATCCGCAAACGCCTGTTCGTGCACGACACTCCGACATCAACTTGATCAATTACAGATATCAACACCCTACTGAACCGTTGAACTCGAATGAAGGATGATAAGAGATTCTGTTGAACCGCGAATTTCTAGTTTTTACTCATCTCCTATGAAACAAAAGAAAAGTCTATGAGTAAATCGTCAGCACATGAGTTCAACACTATGTGGCCTAGTCACATTTAGGCACTGCACCTGATTACTTGATTGTCGCATTAGATGTCATCCCCAGATGCCTGGATAAAATGTAAAATAAACATTGTCTGTCGATCTCCGTAGCACCATAATCATCATTGTTTACAAACCCCACTGCAGCTGGTTGTCCGGAGGCCGTTTTTGTCTTTTGGTGTTGTGTGACATTAAACTAATCTCGCCCATCTTTCTCCTCGAAAGTTCCAATGTTGCGGTTACGAAAGTTCCGCCGACTACCTGAAGAAACTGCAGAGTGTGCCCCAATCCTGCTGTGCATACGGGAACTGCGTCGCAATCGGCGCTAACCTGTCTTCTGATCTCCCGGTAAGCCAACCCTTTCCCCAACCTACATTTGTTTATGTGAACAAAATCAGTTTTTGCAGACTAACTCGGAGCATTCCTTGTTTTCAGGGTTGCAAAGAGCGCGCCATCGATATTGAAAGCCGGACCCTCATCATATGTGCAGTCATCATCGCCCTGGCTCTGGTCCAGGTAAGATCTTAGCCGCAGGCTATTTGTAAAATTTATAAGTTTTTCTCACCAGCTAAAACTATTTGAACAGCAGCTGCAGAAGTGGGAGACAGTATGCAGTCCTATTGACTTTATCCATCTTTCACCTGGTCTGTCTAAAGGCGGTACTTACGCAGTCCGCCTTTTACGATGGTGTAGAAAAGGTCTTATTCAACAGGCCAAATCACCTGGAGACGGTCAGTACTAGATTTCAGTTAATAAGTACTGTCAACGGCAAAGATTGGGAACACTGGAGTAACCGTCTCCGGTAAAGAAAGCCGTGGTTTATTGACTCAACCGAAGTTTAAATTCCATTCCAGTGGCGGTCCATGCAGCATTTTAGGGCTACTGCTTTACCCACTTAAGTTCAGTTACGTTAGTTTCTTGTAAAAGGCAAAAGGGTCTGAAAGGAACAGCTTTACTCTAGTAATAGCTGGATGCCAACCATTTTGTAAACCTCGTGTGAAGCACGCCGCACCAGCCTTCTTAGATTGGTCAGCTCTTTTTGCGAGAGCATAGATGCCAACGCTCATTGGACCTTGCTTTCCGAACGTTCATGTCTGAGTAGGGTCTTTATGATTGGTCGGTTGGCGTGTGGCAACCTTGGGTCGTATTAAGCTAATTGAAAGATCTCGAGTGTCCTTCAGATTTCAATGTATTCTACCGGTTCCCGAGCCAAACGGCATTGCGTTTTCAGTCTCAACGAGTCCCATTAGCACAATATTTTTTGCGCAGTCCATACAACCTTCGCCGTTCAAATTTAACTAGCACTCTCGTCTTTGAGGTGAATCTCAACATCCCCCAGTTCCGAGGGCGGTCTCTGCAGTGAAGTAACGTTTTTTTGCTAACAGCATGCCCCTTTGTGATCAAAGGCTCTTACCGTCGCTCTGTTGACGTCATCATCCTCATCCCCAGATGAATGTGAGTTACGTGACAGTCTTTGTACACCAAAGCTGCATCCACCTGTGCAACGTATGCGTGGGTAAAATAAATGCAACAGCAAAAGGAGTGGCTTTAATCAAGGTCTTTCGGAAAGAAAGAGAGACAGAATCTGACGTCTAAATACGCGTGAAGTACACCGACTTCGTTTGGAATGAGACAATCCGCACTCACTGCGACAGTATTGTGAGAATATTTCAAGCCATCCTAGAAACAGGTGGTTTGGACTCGTTCTTTGTCGTCAATCCCACGAGCTCATTTTTACTGTACTTGATCTGATCCCCTTGCCAAA